GAGGCTCCTCACAGGGGAACAGAGGCCGGACCTGCTGGCGCAGAGCGGAGAGGGGGCGAGTTAGTCACCTACAGTCCTGCCGGGACGGGCGGTGGGGCAGCGACACCCCTCAGCGCCGACCAGCGCCTTCGCGGGGAGCCGTGAAGGGGGTTCAGGCGCTGGGTCAGCTCGTATTTATGGCCCCCAAAGCAGGCGCCACTAGCCCCTTCCCGGATGAGGGTCAAGGACTGTCCAAGGCCATGTGGCAAAGGCGTATGTCCTGCCGGCCGGGCGGAGGGGTCCAGGGAGATCCTGTGAGCTCACACACGTACCCAGGGTGGTCACAGGGAGGCAGTGGCCACTGCAGAGATGCCTCAGGCAGAACCGGTCAGATAAACACATAAAAATGTTTCCTTGTCCAGGCGGACACCTTCCCCTGGCAGGCTGCCCATGAGCTGGCAGAGCCTGGCACAGGGCTTCGCGGGGAGAGGGAGGCGGGCGGCAGCTGTTTAGATTAGACGCACGTGTGTGAAGAGACAGCGCTGGGACTAGCATGTCTTGTATTCGAGGAGGCAGGTCCGGGCTCATTCGGGTGCAGTTTCGGTGCAGGTCCTGGCATAAATCCTGCCCTGCCCCCGAGGGACTGTCCTGCCCCGAGGCCCTCCCGGTTACGGTGGCCCAGACGGCAGGCTGCTGACCAGGACGGAAGGGCACGCTCCTGTCCCCGGACACCCCCAGCCGCAGCCCCGCTGCCGGTGCCGGGAGCCCTCGCCCCTGCTGCTCGCCTGTCTCTCCGCTCCTGATGCCCAGAGGGAAACGAGTGGGATCCACTCTGCACCCAGCCTCCCTTTTTCTCAGTTTCGCTGCAGCCTCTGCAAAGGAGTAGCTCCGTGCTCAGCAGAACCTGTCTGGAATCCAGAGCTGTAGGTGTTGTTTATTTTGTTTTTACATTTTCTGTAATGTGGTTGGGCTACCTCTATAATGCTGGAAAAGTTAATGTGAAAAGAAAATGTTTATTTCCCAGACTTTGGAGTCTTTTAAATAATCTGGTGCTATGAGTCTACCCTGCGCCTCCTTCTCAGCTGGGAAACGTGGGCTCCACCCCACCAAGAGCCTGCTTCCGGGCTCAGAGGACAAGATGGACAGCCCATCTGCCCAGGGCCACGCTGAGGCCCAAACAGACACCCCGGGATTCTTCTGCATAAGGGGGGGGACCCTGAATAGCTGGCCCAGGCAAAGCCAGCTGGGGGCCTTCTGGGGGCGCAGGCCCCATCCCAGAGCCCACTGGATGCGGAGAGGGCGACCAGCAGGCGGGGGCAGCAGGAGTTCTGGCGACTCCACGATGGCAGCAGCCTGGCTCTTGCCCTCGTCTCTGAGACGGAGGCTGACGGCCAGGGCCCGAGCCTGGGTCCCCTGAGAAGGTCCCACCTTGCGTCAGCGGCCGGGACTGGGTGTGCCTTGGCATCCTCGACTGCCAGGAGCCTGATCCCAGGACTGTCTGAGGGCTCTCAGCAGTGGTCACTACGTGGTAGAGTTTTGGCCATTTATGACAAGCGCTGCGGGTCCGCCCCTTCTCGCAAGCCCACGTCTCCTGCTCCCGGGGTTCCCGCACAGCCTAACTGACCCCGCTTAGACAGCGGGGGCCGCCCGTATTGCCAGGGTGAGCTCTGTTCTTACTTCACCCATTAAATAACATTTTCATCAACGGGGCTGGGCCAGCGGTTGGCCCCAGCACCTGCTCGCCTTTTACCAATTCGTCACAGACACAGACTTTCTGGAAAACGCTAAAACCGTGCTAACCGTCAGCAGTCGCTGGCCCCGCTCCAGGAGGCCAGTTCTCTGGCCAAAGCAGCGTCCAGGCGGCGAGCGCGCGGCTGACCCGGCCCCCGGGCAGCGAGGCCCCCACGTCTTACCTTGGTGGTGACGGCGGAGGCCGAGCTGGCCACGAGGCTGGTGATGGCCTCGCCGCCGCCGGTGGTGCAGG